GTACATTATCTTTGGGACATTAATCACAGCAGGACAAGCTCTCCAGGGAAATGCTGCAGTGCAGCCAACAGGCTGATTGCTAGTCCCATGGCGTGCAATGTGATCCTTAGTGCCCAACTTCTGGAGTCATATGATTATATGAGGATCTCAGCTTCCACTACAATGAAAATAAAGTTTCTAGCCATTGAGACTGCAACGAAAAGCTGGCGAATGCCACCTCCTAAAGGTAAAGGATCAGAAGACAAATGGAAAGGAAGCTCAGCTGTATCTGATTTTTAAGTCAACTGCATGGCTTGAAAGCTGGATGGTTTTGAGGACTAACAATTGAAGTTTTAGTACTTTAAAAGAGAAATAATGAAATTCTTGCTGAGAAATGCTTTTTACTTCTTCTCTCCCTGCCCTTATTCCTTCTAAGGCTCGAGACAGTTGCTCACTCTATTTGATGCTTCTCAGCCTGAAGATGCCATTGGAGAAGGATGCTCTTAGCAGTCAGATGGAGTGTGAGTACTGGGGATTTTCCAGGGTTACAAAATGTTTTCCTTGCATCTGCCAAAACTAACGGCAGCCGTTGCTGAACACGTGTCACTGGAAAATCACAAGCAGGCTGGCTGCCAATTGCGCAGAGCTCTTTGGACAGAGGCTTGTCAGGGTCTTGTGAGTGTGAAAGGACACAGCCGTGTGTGAGCTGGGCAGGCAGCGCCGCAGGCTGGCTGCGGGCACAGGCGGCTCATGGCTGCACTCTCAGCCAGCAGGCCTGGGGCCGAGCCAGCCCTGCCGTCAGAACCCTGCTGCCAGCCCTTGGGCTCTGTGCTGAAGTGAGCCTTGTGTGATGATGCTATGCTTGCCGTCAGATGAGCACATTCATTTTTTAATGGAGAGGTCTAAGTGGAAGCAAAGTGGCCAGACAGAAACAAGCAGCGAGCAGCTAATGGTTCGCTGACATGCCATCACAGTTCAGCTGTGGCATCTCCCACACTCCTTGAGTCTTGTGCCAAGCCGTCAAACCCTTCCCACTCAGCAATTAGCATGTGCCAAAAAACAGATTTAAAGGAAAGCTGATGAGGAGTTTATCTACTGTGAGCAGGTGAAGAGGAGTGTCACCAGTGTGGAGAACTTTAGATTTATACTTTCCATGTAAGACATGAGCAAAAATTAATCAGAGACATCGAAGTGCTGTCTATGCTTGGTCAGTCCTGGGGTCTGTTCTCCCACAGTGCACAGAGACAGTGGGAAGCTTCCATATGCCATGGAAGGGTTTCTCCCAGCCTCGAGTGTGTTGTGACACAGGAGGTGCTGTGTGTGGTTTTGGTCACCACTGGATAAGAAAGACATAAGAGAGCATCCAAAGGAGGGCACCAAAAATGGGGAAGTGTCTGGAGGGCAAAGTGTGTGAGGAGCGGCTGAGGTCCCTGTGTTTGCTCAGCACAGAGCAGAGGAGCTGAGGGGAGGCCTGATGGCGGCTGCAGCTCCTCACAGGGAGCGGAGGGCAGCGCTGAGCTCTGCTCTGTGTGACAGCGACAGGGCCCGAGGGAACGGCATGGAGCTGCGTCAGGGGAGTCTGGGTGTGGTGTCAGGAACTGGACTCAGTGATCCTTTTGAGTCCCTTCCAGCTTAGGATGTTCTTTGATTCAAAGGATCTGGTGAGGGGCTCTATTCAAAACACGTACAACCATACAGTGAATGGGCACGTCATGATGTATAATGCAGAGAAAAGCCAGCAAAAAAGGATGAATCCACGTAATTAGGAGAGATCATAGTATTTGATAGTATAGGTGAGAATCACATACAGAGAAGAGCATGGTATTCCCACAGGAATGCACACCTATGCATACATCTGCTCACATTGGGTTGATTCTACCTTCATGCTTTTATACTGAAGCCAAGTTCTTCAGATGAAGAAGATGGGAGATGCTCAACAGCACCCATTTTTTAGTTCATGACTTCCAGAAAGTTATTCTTGATTTATACTAGCCTAATGAAAGCACAAGTGAAGCTCCACGGAAAGTTCTGTCAAAATGCTTAGGTCCTAAATTCTGCCTTCCCTTAACAACATGATTTTTAATGAGGTGCTTGAAATTTACAACTTAATGTAAGCTACATCTGAATATGTTATGTGCCAAGCCTAAATATACACTCTTGAAGGAGCTCCAAAAAAAAAGCTGTCTTGGATGCTAACAGGAAAGCATGGAGAAGGTAAAATCATTAGGCACTACGTATGGCCAAGAATTTGTTGTGTGCTCAGTGCAGAAGGGATGAAGAGAGGAAGTAACAGTGGATTTATGCCTCCGCAGCAGCAGCCAAGCTGAGTTAGCCTCGCAGCATGCAGCCCATGGCCCTCCAAGGTCGCTCCAGCTTTATGTTGGAGTAACATGCAGTGCCAAAACATTGCCTGGGGCTGACAGGCTACCAGCAGGACTGATTAAACCAGCTACTGGAAAAATCCCCAGGAAGCTAGGCAAAACATAGCATTTTCAAACGCTGAAACACCAGCTGTATCAATTCCTAGAACTGACTCTGGGATTTGGTTGTTTTAAATTTTAGGTACACACACACACTTACACAGCAGATCGTGACAGTGAGGTGACAGTACAACCACGGCATGCCACAATCAGGGGTTTCAAAGTGTCGTACACAGGTAAAGTAGCACTGTTTGTGCTCTACAGACGTAGATATGCAGATATTTGCTGGAAGGCATACTGCAGTGGCAGCGGCATCGGGATATATGTAAGAGACCCCAGAGTCACCATGCAATTAGGAAGCCCAGACTTCCCTTCCAGGCTTTCTGTTCTTCAAAATACTCTCACAGCAAAGGGCTCATTTGTGAATATGATGAATGGCTAATGAAAGAGCTCGTCCAGCGGGATGCTTACAGTGCCACGGGCTGAGAGCAGACACAGCAGCATTATCACTGCCTGGCTTCTTGCCAGCCTCCTGCTGCCTTCCACCTCCCGTCTCCTGGAAAATCCACCCAGGTTTGATTAGTGTGAGAGGGCCTCCAGAAAAAAATGAAGGCAAAAAGAAAGAGAGTTGATGTCAGAAGGGAAAATCAGTTCTATAAGGACTGACATCAGCAGCTAAATGCCTCGAGAAGGTGGGAGAGCAAGGCGAGTCCCTGGAGCAGGGGGAAAGAATTAAACTCCAAGCAACTTCTTGCTCTGTGCCATGACTGTACCCCAGCCCTCCCACAAAAATGCTGTTTCTGGACAGAAAGATTAAAGAGTGGTAAGGACAGCCACCTGCCCTGGAGCACTGTCAGTGATCCTAGCAAACTGGTGAAGCACTGGAATTTGGCTTGGGCACACAGACTCAGTCCCACATAATTCCTAGGCCCAGTTCAGGAGTGAGGATGGCCTGGCCCACCCCACCAGGTCACACTGCCACCTCTGTTTGGAAGGCCCCCAACAACACTTAGTTTACTGGAGTTAAAGCATCTCTGGAAACTTTTCTTCCGTGTTTTACACTGCATTTTTGCCAGCCACCATGATACAGATACGTCTCTGAGAAGGCTTTTTAAAGATTACACTGGAAAGATTCCCAAAGGAAATCTGAAACCTGACTTTTAAGATCTTGATGTGAGGGCCAGGGTTTTTTACAGCTCAAGTAAGTCTAGGTAGCCTATAGGAAGTCCTTTTCTTGTGATTTCTCCGCAGTATTGTTTTCCTAGGATAACTGGGCAACATTGCGTCATCCTTCTCAACTGGTATCCCCATTTGCTCAATGTTCTGCCAAAAAGGCATTTCTGCTGCAGACAAGCAGGTAGTGGCAGTGCCTGAGCGCATTCCCTGGCTCTGAAGGCAGCAGGAGAAGGGCAGAGGTCACCGAATGCCTTCTCAGTTTGTTTCTGCTAAATGTCAAGTGCTGAAGCAGGAGGGATGATGTTAAACATGCAGCTACCAACCCACAGCGCCAAGAGTGCAGTTTGTTGTTCTACGTGAAGCTGGACTCAGCCAAACCCTTGGCTTGCATGAACAACACGGCTCACTCTTTCATTTTGCAGGCAGTGAACGTTTGCACTAAGGATTTATGAACTATTTTTACTGAGCAGCATTTGCATTTAATGGCATTGAGAAGGGCTTTTATATTTACATGGGCTGCTTGAGACTTGTTTTGTGTTTTCATTTCTAGAAAATATAATCCGGTCAAATGATAACAGAATTAACTGCATAGCAACACTTAATTTTATTATGCTCTCTGTTTCAGTTTTTCCTCAATTTCTCACAGCTGTTTGTGTTTTATTTCATCTGTATGTATTTTTACAATCTGTGATCTAAAACACGCAGTCTACCCAGTGCATTTCATTGCTTCCAAAATTTTAACACACTCTTTGCGAGTACCTATTGTGTCCCACTTGGCAAGCAAATAATTCCTGCTGAACCATCTGTATTTGTGCACAGCCGTTCCACCCAAGCACGTAAGACTTCCTTTCTCACAATTTAGAATGAGAAATATCTGTACTGTTGAATAGATTAATTTTTGTTTTGTGGCTTCATGTCCACGACCCAGATTTGAGTTATAAACCTGTCATGTGTCAGGGCTCATTATCCACTGATTGCATAAGCTATTGTTACCAGGATACGTTTAGAATTAATCCAAAATTCACAATTAATAATTTGAGCAGTTCTACAAATAAGGCCAACCATTATCTACTGTCTTTTAGTTCAAGTATATTTAAGTTCACTGCCAGAATATCTTCTGAGTCTTTGCTTTCTGATCAGAAATATCTCATCCCCGATTCATATTATTTCATGTAGTTATCTCACTAACTTGTGCGTCAGCAGGTCTTTTAAAGAGCAGCATATACTAAATTTGTGCACAGATAATAAAATAGTAAAATCTGAAATAAATACTGTTTATATCCTTTTTTTGGCTTTGTTTTTCTTTCAAAAATATTATTTTATTAGTAGATATTGATTGAAGACGATTAAGCTAAGCCCTAAAATGTTTGCCCTAAAACATTTTTGTTTTCTCAAGTCCAGTAATGCTTCAGGACTATTTCCATCTGGTAGTAACAGTCCTGTTTATTATGGAACATCTTGGGTTATATTGTGCGTCTGTGCCACAAAATCCATTGAAATCATGCAAAACACCAATGTCTCTGCCAAAGTCAATAAAATTACTGCTTGCTGAAGAAAACAGTAAACAACAGAACTTCATAATGATGACATTAACACATCCTTTGTCAACAGTTGGAAAATCTGGAACCTTAAAAAAATAAAGCAAAGCAATGCATTCTGCTTGCTTGTATAATTAATTATACAAAAACTTCTATTGAGATTTGGTTGGATAGGAAAAATACTGGGGTAGCAGCATTTGTTCAGGATGCAGAGTGGAATGCAGAGTGGAGTGCTACATTTATTCATCCATCAAATAAATGGGCAAGTTCTAAAGCTGCTCTGCTTCTTAGCCTCAGTGTGCCACAAGTCCTTGGAAACTTGAAACTGCTGAGTAGATCTGAGGTGAACTCCAGTCCTGCTCAGAAAAACACAGTGCATTTGGAAGCTCCTGAGGAATCCTGTCCTACCCTGCCCAACTCTCCTGCTCCTTGTGTTCTCAATACACATGTCCTGAAAGGGAATCATCATCTTCTTTTTTGCAGTGGACATCTGATGTCTTCTGTGAGGGTCAGGTTGTTTCTGGGGAGGGTCAGAAATCACTTTGGCTAAGGAGAAATTTCCAAGATGAGGTAGCTGAAAAAAAGGCATTTCCTGTCTCATCCTATTATATAGCTGCTCCATCCTATTGCAAACTACATCTTGCTTTGTAACAGCACAGGGTTTTGTGCATCTATTTGGTTACAAATATATAAGTAAAATAAAAGAAAATAAATTACAAAATGAAATAATTAATGGGTTTTCTTTTTAATCCCAAACAAATGTGTGATAGTGCAAACTTCTGTGGATGGCAGTGTAGCCAGGGGTGGAAAACCATTTTTAACCAGCATACTAGGTTAGTTCTCAGAGACAGTTATCAGAAAATGAAAGTAGGAGAAAGAGGAAGGGTTACCTTATTTCATCAAAAAATAAATTCTAAATAGCACTACAGAGATGTGCTTTGCCATAATATACAGGTCGCATGTAGTAATGTTAGGCTTTAATGATTCTAATGCAGAGAAGCTTCTGATGCTTACACAACGTTTGGCTGACCATACTGGTTTGGCTAAAGCAGAGGATAGTTCTACCTCCTTTCTCCCACGCTTTCCACCTTAAATCATCCATAACATTGTTAATATCTTCCCTTCATCCAAGTAATTCATTGTAAATGCATTTCTGTTGGGTTGCACAAGTGACAAACATAAATTAAGAATAATTTATGGTATGAATAATAACTGCCTTCTCCTGAAGCTGGATAACTTCCACGGCATGCTGTATCCCAGCAGGCCACTAGATGGTATGACAGGATACTGTCTGCACAACTGCAACCGCTCAGCACAGCTTCATTCTGCCTGAAGATTCTACAGTGTAAGCTAGAATTTTAAATACAATAGCACACATCATAATTATTGTCTGGTATGTTCCAGAGCTCCATCTTCAGCGATGGCCTTTTGAGGTGTACTCACAGAACAACTCACAGCTCAGCACAGTGCACAGGCTGCCTCACAGCTGACTTGTTAACACCTACAAATGTTGAGCTATGAAAATTAAGGCACGAGGTTCACTTGTAGATTTCCATGAGGAAATCAAACTGCCCGGGAGGAAACTGCAGCTCCAAGAACCTTCTGTGGTGGTAATGCATTAGAAGAGGCTGCCCAGGGAGGTGGTGGAGTCACCATCCCTGGAGGTGTTCAGGAAATGTGGAGATGTGGTGCTTAGGGACATGGTTTAGTGGGCCCTATTGGAGATAGGCAGACAGTGATTCAAGCAGAGAGGGTTTCTAATGTTTCAGCAGTAAAGCTGCTGAACAGTCTGGTGGGCAGGGCAGCCCCATGCAATGGTGTCTCCCAGCCAGATCAGTTCGAAATTAATCATCCACTCTTGCTTTTTCTATAAACACAGACCCTATGACTTTCCCTGAATTAATTCCTGTTTGGACTGTGTAGGAGATCAGCATGGGAAAGGACATCAAGAATCATTGAGTTCTTTTCCACTGCTATCACAAGTCACAATATCACAAATATTCTGCTGCTGGGAGACACCTCCAGAACCCCACACTTACGCTGCATACTCAACATAAATTACATTCCTTGATTACATGCAGTCATCCCTGTGGTAAAATTGTCTTTTAGTATCAACCTCTTCCTTCCCTGAATCTGTTCTCTGATGTACTTCAAGCCAGCAGTAATATCTTCAGTTACTCTTCACTTTGATGAGCTAAACCATGCAACTTCTTTCAGTCTTAGAAAAGGAGCTCTCCACGACCCTTAACCAATCAGGCAGTTTTAATTCATCTCAGTCAGTGAGGCAGTGCTCAGAGGATGCTCCTTGCAGAGCAGCACTGGCACCTTGCTGTCCCCATTGTATCTTAATGTCTCCATTAGAGATTTGTCTCTAGAGAGCAGGCAGACCCACAGGTTTCTCTCACACCAGACACCCTGACAGCGGCTATATAAGCCCCACAGCTCTGTCTTCTCTTTTCCAAAGAATGAGACTCAGTATCTCGAGAAATTATTTTTACTTCCTCACTAATTTATGCATTCTCAGTTTAAGATAACCAGTTAGTTTCTAATTAAAATCAGTGATTCACATCAGTTAGGTAGCTTCTAATTACATCAGTGTTTCACATCAGTTTTATATTCTTCTCCATTCATCAAGTCTCAGGTCAAATACATGTCACAGTGACAGCTATTAACTGCATCAGCTCAGTATTTTAATCATGCTACTTAAGCACAGGATAAGGCATAGGCCAGTCAGCAAAAACTAACTCCCAAATGACCATATATCTCGAGATAAGCTATGTTTATTTAATTCTCTATTAAGAGGGTTATATTTTTTCCTTAGGAATAGTGATAAATGGACAGGATTGGCCTTGCCATGACATCAGACATCTGGATCCTGAGCAGTGTTTCAAAGATGACTGTCAATCAGTAGTAGTATTACAAGAGCTCTTTTATCAACCTCATCCAAACTGGGCTTGCTGGGTACGGACAGCTGACAGAAAACCTTTAGCAGATGTGACAAAACACTCTCCTGAGTCCAGCTGGAGTGGCAAGGATTTATTATACTATTAGCACATTAATACTTCTCTGCTTTTTCCCAAATACAGAACATAATATTGATTCTTCCTGCATTTTTTTTTTCCTTTGAGTTGATTCCCACCATTTCTATCTATTCACTTTGGTATAATCTCTTCCTTCTACATTTTAAAAATGCATAGCTGTTGTCTGCAAGTCTGCAGATCATATACTGGTCCCTTGGTCCATTTGCTCTCTTATCACTTTTCTGCAAGAGGCTACCTTCTAGTTTATATTCATTATTAACAGCTTCTCCCACTTGCTGTATAATTTCTATACTTCTTTCACTTTCTCTCTAAGCCAAACCAATTTTCTAAGCAAAATAACTCTCTTCTTCTGTAGTGCTCTTTTTCATTGCTCTTAAACAGTTTCATGGTTTACCTGCTTAAATTCTTCCTTGCAGAGATTCGATTTAGAATCGGGTTTAGCTTATGAAATTGGCACTGTGAAAGCATCATCTACATTTAATATGTTTGATACCACTTTGGAATGCAACCTATTAGCAAAAATGTTCCAAAATGCTTTTAACCCCAGTGAAGAGATAAGTTATATGGAGTGAGAAATTAAGAGCCTTTTACAGTTTTGAATTAATGAGCCCATAGCTAGAATACGGCATGAAGTTGAGAGTACTTCCCTATCAGGTATCTGATACCTGGAGAGACTTTGGGAAAAAAAAATCAATTAGGGACTGAGAGCATTTTTGAAGAATGCTTTAAATAAGGAAATACTTTTAACCAACTAATGAGTGGAAAAGGAGAGGAATCAGACAAACGCCTATGTGTACTTTTATAGAGATGTTCTGCTTCTGAGGTTTAAGTAGAAGATGGGGAGGAAGAAAGATAGAGAAACAAAGAAAAATACTGAGATATATTGGATGTAGGGGGATTGCTTGGGGTATTTAGACTGAAACGAATACCAGTTTCATACAGAATGGTTTTTCCTGTGCACACAGCTTCTCTCACAGTGGTGGAGAAAATAACCAAATAGATCTTCCATCTTTTCTCTTGACCTGTCCCTTTTTTAAATCTTATTTAACTCCTTAAAAGAACTGTCTGCTCAAGGCAGCTAGGCTAATTAGTGTGGCTCAAACACTCAACATTGGTTGTTTTTTCTTGGTATGTTGTGATGAGATTAATGTACTACACAGACAGTAGGGCTCATAGACTGTCTCCCACAGGGTACATTTTCCTGGTTCAGTCACTACTCATTTAACTCAGGCGAAATAGCACTGAACTGTGACAGATCCTTACAAGAGGCAATTTCACCAACCACATTAGAAATACTCCTATTAACACAGAAAAAAAAAAAAAAAAAAAAAAAAAACCAAGAAAAAAAAAAAACATCAGCTCCACAGAGACTTCTCCACCAGAGTTCAATCTCACAAGATCTTCACAGCCTAAAGTAAAGAACGCTTCAGCTGTGCCACTGCAATATCCCTGTGAAAGAGCTCTGCCGTGGTCTTGTTCCCTAACCTGTACCCACCATTCGACTCTATTAAGTTTAACAGAGATTACTTTCAGCACCAAAATAACAAATTCCTTTGCAACATTAGTCAATGAAATCAAATTTGTCATAACCAATGAAATAACAAATTTTGTAATCTTAGACCTTCTCTTGGTCAGGTAGCCTGTGCTGAGCATATCTAGAGTAGCCCCAAAGCTGCAGGATGGATGCCCTGGAAGACAGCTCTGCCCTGAGCTGCTACAGGTCTGACAGCTGTGCTGAACAACACATCTTCAGGAGCTGGAGCTCTCTCAAGGCTCCACATTTCCAGCACAATACCAGCGCACACACAGGTGTTGCCCCGTTACAGGAAGCTTTCAAAGCGAGGCTGGATGGGGCTCTGGGCAACCTGGTCAACTGGGAGGTGTCCCTGCCTATAGCAGGGTGTTAGAACTAGATGATCTTAAAGGTCCCTTCCAACCCAAACTATTTTATTATTCTATGATCATCACTGGCCTTGTTACTTTCATTTTGAAATGCAGTTCTGCAGACTGGTGATTTAGGTCCCTGCTGTCCTGAAGTTCCCACTAGTGTGATACCCTGCTGTCATTTCTAACCACACAGAGTGTTTTAGTAGCTTATTCCAAGGAATGACTGATCATTTTTGTGCTTCGAAGGCATACGCAGACAGAAATAAGATGATACCAAGTTTCAAAAATCAATTCTAGCATATGCTTAATGATGCCTATACACTCTGCTGGAGTGCTGAGAGGTCTGGCACCCTGTCCTAGCTCCCTGAGTGCCTGCCGTACGGCCTCACACCTCCAAGGAAAGCTGCACAACTAGCCTTCGCTATGCAGGTGCTCTCACCCTTCAGTGCCCTCTGCATCATTTGTGTTTTGTAGCCACAGATGCACATTCTTGGAGAGTTCCAATATAGAAGCCAACTAATTACCATTTATAACTAATTAATTATTAATTTGTAAGTTGATCTTAACAGCAAGATGACACTTTAATAACTAGTTTAATACTAATGCTGGTGAGCCTGAAGTGACATCAGATTTAAAAGTAGTTTACAGATTTTGGTGTAAATAGGATCAGTGACACTAATTCACTGTATTGTGAGGCACCAACATCATTTTCATGTAATAAACGAGCCCACTCTACTCATTTTACTAGTTTATATAATCCTCACAGACAGGCACATCAAAATGAGACAGCTGCGGATTGACAGTATTTCGTCCGTGCAGTTCGTGTTACACTGACAAGCACACACGAGAACAAAGCAGAAGTCACCAGCCAGGGAGGAGGCTGCCAGGTTGTGCAACTACATGTATAACACAGCAGCAAAATGAACCGTCCTTTTCACAGCTTTACATTGGGCAGCCTCCAGGAGCCCATAGCAGCTGGCAGATCTCAGCACCTCTCACTCTCCACACAGTAAGCTCCTTCTTGCACAAAGAAGCAAATTGTGTGATAATGTCACACCCTGCTGCAGTGTCAATTGTATGAGCTTCAACAAGACCAAGTGCTGAGTCCTGCACTCCTGGGTATTTCACAAAACAGCCAAAGCTGTTCCTACCCCTGACTGCCCTGCTACCCCAGGTGAGATCCCAACTCACGTCCTCCACGGCAGCAGCAGTCATCTTACACAGCTGGACCCTTGCATAGGGTCCCAGTGTGATGGAACAGGGAGCAGGGCCATCAGCAGTGCAAGGTCCTATGCAGCAAGGCCATCCCCGTATGAGGTAATGGGGGCGGGGCTGCCTACAGTGTGATGTGAGTGGGTGGGGTGGAGCCTGGCAATGGCTCTAAAGGGGCTGCCTGGGGACCTAGGGGGTACTAGGGGTTTCTCTGGGACTTGCAGGCTGCTCTGTGGTCTTCCAGGATGTTTGGCTTGCAGGTGGACTATGGCTTGCTGCTGGAGCCCCTGGGCTTCATCAAGGTCCTCGAATGGGTGAGTGGGACAGGAAAGGCCCCACTGGGGTTGGTAGTTTGTCCTCCTGCTCAAAGCTTGACTGCCGTGGCTGTGCAGTCCTCAGCAGGAGTATGTTGGTCGGCTGCCTGTTGGTCCATTCTGTGTGTTGTGCAGCTACGAGTGGCTGCTCTGCAAAGAGCTGCTCCTCAGGTCCCCTCTAGGAGGGAAGGAAGCACTTCTGCAGATGAATAACATGATGTACTAATCACTGCTGTTACAGCAACTTGGGCTGCTGGGTGGTAGTATCTTACATCCTGCTTGTAGGAGCTGTGGAGTTTCCCTACTTCACAGAGGGCAAGCAGGAGCTACTTAGAGATATAGCTTCTTGCTATGTCAGCATACAGTTGTGGGTGTCTGAGACTCCTAGAAGTGCTTATTAATTACAGGAGATACTGTGCTGGCTTTCCCTGACAGCATCCAAATCAAAATGGTACTTCCTCAATAGAGCTGAGTGGAGTGTAAACAAGAATCTTTGAAACTGACTTGTTTGTTTGCTTTTTTCCAATTATTTCTATAGAAACATGGTGCATTGATTCCTTCTTGCTTTTGCTTTAGTGCTCTTTCATTAATAACTTATTTGTTTGCTTAGTTCTTGGTTCTTATTAACTGTTTCTGCTAAGAGGCTGGGATGGTTTCCTTTGACCTCTAGTGATGTGTGCTAATGTCTTTGTTTCCATCTCTAGATTTTTTCCATCTTTGTTTTTTCAACATGTGGAAGCTTTCATGGGGAAACTACCCTTCTAGTTTCCTGCAAGGGTGTGGTGAACAAAACAGTTACAGCTGTGTTTGCCTATCCATTCAGGTGAGATTAATCTGTTCAGCTGTTACTCACATACACTGATTATTTTTTCTTCTGTCTTTCTCCTTGTGAACAGCTCACATACACAAACTAATATTATGACCCTCTTGACTTGATCTGTGGTAGTTGAAGGGAAAGAAGTATTAAGGTATAATAGTTGAAAGCACTCTGGTCATTGGTGTGCTGTGAGGCAGGGAGGTAGAGGTGACAATTGGCTGTTAATATTTTGTATTATTTTACCCTAAGCTATATTCTGCCTGTGTGGGAAAGCTACATAAAGTGATTAATCGGCAGAACAGTGCAAGTAATCATAGAATCATTGAGGCTGGAAAAGACCTCTAAGATTATCTACAGTCTTAGCAACCTCTTTCTTTCAACATAGTTGATCTGGGGACCCAGGTAAGACTGTTTTTGATGTGCTGTTGTCATGATATCTTCATACAAAGGCAGAATGGAGAAAATTAACTTCACAGTTTATTCCACTATAGTGTTTCTGAGGCTTTGCAGTACATGACTAAATACTCTGCTGTGATTATAATGTAAATGCAAGCTGCTTTCTTGAAGCATGAGGAAGAAGGCTTATTCTTTCTTTTAACTTTGGCACAATCATAAGAAGTACATGTGTTATTTGCATGTTCAGTAGGCATATGTGTAATGATAGAAATGGATTCTGATGCTAGCATGTAAAGACCACTACAGAAGTACAGAGCTTAGTCACAAACCTCAGCATTGTAGCAGCACTTGGAGGAGAAGATAGAAATCTGAAATGCTTCTGTGCTGGTCCTTGAGCTTCCTTTGCTTAAAGATTCAGTGCTTGCATTTGTGTGTAGATATGCAGTTGCTTCTTTTTAAGTCTTGCCCTTCACCTTCACTCCACCTTTAAGTGCTAGCCTCCAAAATATGTCTGCTTCTGAATGGGGGCTACTTTCTTCAGTTAGTCTAAATGTAAGATCAACATTTTTCTCTTCAAGCTACTGTTGCCTATCAATGTAGGGTAGGGAACAATCTTCAGAGATCTCCGTGTACCTCTGTATTGTATAACTGATAATGTTATTCAAACAGTTTCTCTACAATCTTAAACAACTAGCATGCTGAAGGAAGCAGTGGTGTTGTGAAGCATGACTGTATGAAGCTTCCTCTGCATAGTAGACTATAACTATGTAATATTTTATCTTTTCTAGGTTGAATACTGTTCAATTTAGTGCACCAGATTCTAATCGCTGTGGTGGTACTTGGACTGACATTTATCTTGTGGGCAACTTCTCCTCTTCTGCACAGTTCTTTGTTACACTTGCAGCATTGGTTTTCCTCTACTGCATTGCTGCCCTGGTAGTGTATATTGGATATAAACATGTGTATCAGCACAACAGCAAGTTTCCACTAACTGTAAGTAACAAGTATTTCTGTGTCTTTTTTGTACTCCTAAGAAGGATGAAAAATACTGTTAACACACCAAATCTGAATTAATGTATGAATATTCAGTAGTTCCAAAAGCATGTGGAGTGTGAGCCATGTATCTTGGATTTGTGGCTACAGCACTTGAGCAAAAGGAGGAAGGAACCCAAAGTCCTTTAATATCCACGGCATCTTGTCCTATACATCTACTGAAGTGAAACTAGAATGAAAGTCTTCCTAAAGTGAACAGTGTCTTCCCCACAACTTATCTTTAGTACGTATTTGAGTATACAGTTACTCCATGGGGAGAGGTCCCTCTTTTTAGTCACTGGGAACTACCTGCTCTGTAGAGTATCTGCTGTGCAGATGTGATAGATGGAGGGATCCTTAGAGCGTTCTTGGGTATGATCTGGAATATCTCTCAATCCTAGTGACCTTTCCAGCCAAACTTTGGGATATCAGCAGTCCAGACTGGAATCACCCTACTATCCCAATTTTGTAAGACTTTAATTTTTAGGAAGTGCCAGCCAACTGGCTTAGAAACAAATTTGTTTCCAAGGATAAAATTTCTTATTGCTTGATAGATACAAAAGACTGATACACAACTTTATAATCCATGTTGACTTATAATTACAATACTGTTAATGTCTGATATGCTTGTGTTCATTAGTACTGATATGGTTATTCTAATGTAGTTGACACAGTCTCTGCCTTGTTCTCTTGTGTACTTACAATTTCTTTTAAACCTTTTAATGAGTACTTCTCTTTTGTAGGACTTGGCTGTAACTATTGTAACAACCTTTCTGTGGCTGGTCAGTACTTCTGCTTGGGCAAAGGCACTTGCTGATATAAAAATATCAACAGGGGCTGGCATTATTTCACTAATGGACTCTTGCAAAGCTCCAGAAACAACTTGTCATTTTGGCTCTGTGACCAGCATGAGATCTCTGAATGTATCTGTGGTATGTATGTCTTATGCCATGCAGCATTCAATGAATGTTATAAAATGCAGATGGTAGCTGAGAAGCATATTTTCATTACGTGTGTTAAGATTGCTTTGTGGGGATATTGGTTATACTACGATACAATGCTGATACCTTTTTTCCTTTTAAAAAAAAAAAAGGAAACTCCTCTCTTCCTATAAAGGAATATAAACAACTTGAAGGATTTATCTTTAGAGTTGTTAGATGTGGTAGTTCCTAGACACACTCTAGAGCATATACAGGTGTCTTCTGTCATCTCTTTGGTTTGGAGAGCTGTTTCTGGCTTGTTTAGAAGTCATTCTGTGTTGCTGGGTTGGTTTTTTGTTGGTTTTTTTTTTGTTGTTGTTTAACCTAAGCTCACTTCTTTCTTAACCTACAGGTATTTGGTTTACTTAATATGGTTTTGTGGGGAGGAAATATCTGGTTTGTGTACAAGGACACCAACTTGCACAGCCAGTTAATCAGAGGTTCTCAAGTTCCAGGGGCATATTCAGCTCAAAGAATATAAGAACAAGATTATACTTTGGAGTGCTTCTGCTTCTACATCAGACTGCCAAGAACATGGAGCCAACAGGATTTATTTCAGTAATAACTGATGGTACAGACTTCTGTTTCATATGAAGTATTACCTTGATGTAGTCTTCAATATTTCAACTGAATTGTTACCTTGAAATATATTATGCCTTAATAAAAAGGCTGTACAACTTTGTGCAATATTTTTAAGAGAAAATGTTGAGGTCACCTAAATGCTGGCACCTGGGGGGGGTTCTTACGTTAACCTCATAGGAGGGATGGGGAAGGAGCACCTGTGTTTGAATTATAACTGCAGCCTATCTAGTTCTAATAAGCCTTTACTGGAAAAAAAAAAAAAAGCAAATACAACTAGAATGTGAAATCCAGTGAAAATGAAGACCATCTTCTTGGTAAGATGGATACCATGCAAAAGCCATCTGCATAAAGCCTGGAGCTCTGTCAGGATTGTGGATGTCACACCTAGATTTGCAGGTACTCCCTTCAGATTACAGCATCAAATCTGTCAACATGTCTTTTTTGGAGGACATGAATTTCTGTTTAATATAATAATACTGTTTCCTATCTTAGGGTAATTTTCAGACAAGGGAACTAGTATTTCAGCATAAGTTCACTTATCAAAGGTGTGTGTGTACAGCAAGTGACTTAAGTCTCAGAACTTGCTCACATATTGTGGACTCCAAGGCTAATATATTCTAATGGCTAATATCATTCAGAGGAAAGAATAAAGACTCTGATATGTACAGTCTTTGCATATGAAAGGGTTGGACTAGAGCTGTCTGGATATAAGGAAGTCTTCATTGACACTGCTCAGCTCACTTGTATTTACTGAGAGCAATACTTGATGGTTCCTGTGGATATCTATGTGAAGATACTGGACTAATTGCCTAGATAGTGTTTTGTCTAACAAACTCTTGTTTAATCTTTAATCATGAAACTAAACAAAGGTGTGCCACTGTATATGATGCAAACTTCAACTGTTGAATGTACAAGAGCTGTATTTCTGATAGTAAGCTTCTAAGTATAATAAAGTTAGTGTGGCTGCTGCAAAAAGAGTGTACCTTGTGTCC